CTCTCACAAGTGTTAGAAAAATAATTGTAAATTGCATGAAAAACAGAAAAACATAAGAAATTGCATGTGTGAGAGCAGTTGTGAAGGTAGGTGGTTGTTGGTGAGATGAGGAAGGAAAGGGGGAGGATGGCCTCCTTATATAGACTTTGTGGCCAGGAAGAAAATTTTTCTCCATAGTATGATGGTAAGGGATTAGGGTTTGGAATCAATAATATTATTAAGTATTTAATACCACCATTCTATAATAATATAATACATGAGGTCAGTAATGTCAATAAAGCTAACATTCAATACTACCTGTTATCCAGAAAAAAAAAATTGTATTGTAAAATTCATTCCTATATAATTTATTATCATACTAGGAATGCAATAAGAAAATAAAACAAACTATCTTTCAATAATCTCATGTCTTTTTGTAGAGCTACTGTACTGGATAACTATATTGTACTTTGTATTTTTTATAAAAAAAAAGTTATTAGAATTTAAGTTACTACCCTATCTCCTACGTTACTATAACTCCCCTCCAATTTCAATTTAGTAAAGCTACCAATTACACCTATACATAAATCATTTCTTTATTTCCTATTCCCAAGCTGTTTTTTTTTTTTTTTAAAAAAAAAAAACCCCCCTATCAACTATGATCTTAAGAGTTGTCATTACAATGTAGATATGAAGTTTCATATTCACCACTTCTATTTCCAAAATATGTTGAATATATACAGCAAACTTGAACAAGATCAAACTTCTCTCAATTATCCAATCCTGTCTTTCTTACCTCTTTTTTCTACCTACTACTACTTAATTTTTCAATAGGCTCAAATTAGTAACTCAAGAGAAATTAGTAAGCTTTCAGACAAAATTACACTTATTCCTCATACTTCAAACCTGGCGTACTGACACTAAGATAACTGTCCAACTCCCAGACCAGAAACTCAATATACGTCCTTGGAATATCCTTCTTTTCCATAGTATTATTACCTCTCCCACCGTGGCCTGCTGCTCCATGCACTAAGGTAGACCAGTTCTTGAAGTCAGAGAATCTCTATAATGCTAGCAGCAGTCAAAGGATAGAGCTCTGATCTCTTATCTCACATTTGTTTTTCTTTTGTGATTTTCAAGGATACAAAGAGTTGTTATAACCCGGTTGTATGGTACAGATGCTACTGCTGGGATCAGGATTGATTCCCCCAGTTTTTATTTTTATTAATTTAGCAACCAGGACCTGCAATTACTTCCTTTTTTGTAATAAATACGCTCTCATGCTCAGGCTGCTCTTATAATACATGCTCATAGAATGGGCCAAGTTATGGCAGGTCAAAGGCAGTATCATTTAAACAGCCAACAGTGCATGAAGGATTTCAGGAAAAAAAAACCTAGGACGCATTAGGCATTGATCCTACGGACCTTCAAAGGGCCCGACATACCAGATTTAGGTTTCCTTGCCTGGTTTGCTTGATCCTACCCTGCTGCCAAAATCCCATTACTATTGCACTAGCAGAGAGTGATTCCGAGGGTGTTACCTCCAGAATCCAAGAGCCCACACTCAACACAAAGCCGCTGTCCACTCCTACAATACCCGAAGGCTACTATATAGAGGATAACTAGTGAAGGCGCTGTAGTAATTTTTGCAGGAGAGGTAGAGGAATCTTTTGAATGATGCCAACCGACATTACCCACAGGGTGCCACAGTTACGAACCTCAAATAGCCGAATTACCCAAGCACCGATCCCACTCCACTTTATTAGCCCACCCACCCCTATTTCACCCCTTAAATGTGGATATCCACTCAAGAAATTATTTCTTCCACCGGCCCATCCCTAACCTTATTGCAATCTGCAACATCGTACATAACCACCAATAAGTGCCGGAAGTCGGAGAACTTCATAGGCGTTCGCGGAACAGAGCCAATTATCATTCGGGATAATGAGATCCTCTAGAATCCTTTAGAATACCCGAGAAGCCCTTCCGCATGCCCCACGATTCTCTATTGTCACCGAGTGAGAATGGAAAAAGGGGTGCGATACCAGAGATGTTATCTTATTTGAGATATATTTTCCTCTTCGTTGTCAGTGAATGCCCCGGCTTTACCTTCCATTCAGTACTGCCATTATGTCCTTATCCCCTGCCTTCCCCAGGATCACAAGAATGGGGAGTGTTATGATACCCCAGGGCCAATCCAAGCCCCTAGATTAACAGCCAAACCCCAATGTAGCAACATAGCATCCACATTGAAACGCGCTCCCCTCCCAAGCCAAGATACCACGCAGAGTTCTCCCTAGCAAAAACGTCAGGCATGCTACCGCTCCAATATCACCATGCTACTTACCTCTACAAGACAATATGCCCCTCCTCCTCCCCGCAGGCATGTTAATAAGAGACCCCCGGCCAAATTCATGGTTAGCCCGGCAAATGTAATCCATCACTCAATATATCCTCTCCAGGTATTTTTTTTTTTCCTCCCACCACCGCAGGTCGACCTTCATTGCAAGTTGCAGGCTTCTAGACCGCAGCCAACAAGTGCTCAAAACCAAACAACGCCAAGCCCGTTTCCGGAAGCGAGTGGATTGTAGAAGGCTGGGCTGTAATGTGGAAAAATCTGTCAGGCTCTTCCACCTCCCTGATGCAGCGCTGCGTTGAGGAAAAGCCGTCAGAGAGGGGGAATGTCGCCCCCATGTTGGAGCTTCTGCCTAAGTAACTCCCCTAAGATATATCTCAGCACGCGCGATTCCGTCTCTTCTGCAAGAATGTTTTCTTACTTCTCTCCCGCTCGAGTATATGTATCCCAACCCATGATAGCTCTGGCATTTCTCAATGTAGTATGGCTCAACTAAGGCATTTATCATAACATCTATGACACGATCAAACTAATCCCCAAGTACACTCTTATAAGCCAATGAGGTTATCCCCAAGAGGAGGCCACACTTGCTAACGCTCGAATAATAGTATTCCACTTACCTCCGCAAGGAAAACACCACACCCCCTCCCAAGACAGCGAATCAGATACTAGGCGCCTAATTCGTGAGTTTGGGGAGCTCAGATAACCCAAACACAGTAGCACTAGGCTCACTCCCCCTAGATTGTCCAACTACTACCCATGAGCCCATCAAAATATCCCCTCCCGAAATCCCTCCCCACCCGCGCAATCTCCAAATTTCCGGTATGTTCCCACATCCCTGGAACGGCCGACAAGTGTTTGAATTTAGAGAAAGTGGGACATGTCTGTGGAAGAAAAAGAATCGTTCTTTGGAATATCGGACTCACCAAAGGGAGACGCGAGGGCCCAGAGGTCTTCCCAATGCCTCATGCTGGGAGGTGTGCTCCCTAGGTGTGAAAGTAATTCCTGTATGGCAGCAAAAACTCCACTGCCATATCCGTGGTGTGTCCTAGTCCCCATTTCCGCTAGCTGACTATTGACACAAGTTACATGCCATTGCTTTCCTCCTAGCATGATATTCCTAGCTGTGCTCTTGTTTCCTTCATCCTTTCCCAGAAAATCAGAAGAATCGTTGGTTTTCTAACCCCATGAGCAAATAGAATCCCGTTAGTGTAACATTATAGGACCATCCACCCTCAAGCACGCTCTCCGTACCAAAAAAAAACACCCCCAGTACCTAGGCTGTACTAAAAGAAGTACGGCACTTACCTCCCCAGGCTGGGTACCACCTTCAGCCCCCAGCACAAGCTCCCCACAACACGATGGAAAGCAACCCGTAGATTGTGATCGGAAATGTCCGTCGAGAACGAATGGAGGCCTGGGGCTCCCAAGCAGAGGGACAAACAGCCGATGGTGAAAATGCTCACAGACGCTCTCTATGCAACGCGGCAAGAAGGCAGAAGAAAAAAACTTGTACGAGGAAATCTTTGCTGGATAGGCGGGAACTGCAAGAATACTTCATGCCAGGCGAGGGCAGCAAAGTCGGAGCATTCCCAGCTATGATATGACAAGAAAATAAATTTTCCATGAAGGCCCAGGGGAGAGACACAGGTACCTTAAAATTCACCTGACCGGCAAATCACTTCCCAAGTATACCAACAATAACTCCCCCAACATCCATCAATCCCCTCGCGCCGAGCATAATAGTTTGGGCAGAAACGGTAGGTGGGTGGGTTGGTGGGTAGTTGCTCCCAGGAGTGGAGGTGGGGAGAAGCCTGGTGGGTAAGTTATAAAGCGCTGAAGGTTACTAGCAACCCAACCACCAACGCGGCTAGATAAATAAGAATGGTAGGAGGGGAGTAATGAATATACTGTAGGTGATTCTTACCTCCAATGCCCAAGCAACATACAAAAGTCTCGGCCGGGACTTACCGCGGGCAGTAGGAAACGGCGCTCGACTGTGTTACCCGTACAACTCTTATAAGTTCCATAAGAAAAAAAAGACTACAAGCAAAACCACCCCCAGATCTCAGATATCGTCCAATCTCTTCCACCAGCAGGCTTCACATACATTCCAGGATCCAAATAACAATCAGGCAGGACCTCAGAATAATAATTGACTGTCTGCTTATCCACTCCCTTGCCTCTTTCAAGCATGATTCTAGTAAAAAAATTATAATACTTCGAAACCCAGCCCAGAGAACCGTACGTGCAACACATAAAAGGCGCATTATTCTGTGCCAAAGAGAGCTCAACCATTCACTAATCCACAAATCTCTTATCGCGTTGACAAAATAACCAAAGTTGGTTCAAAATAATCATACGAAAATACTACTCCCCTGTGCTAGATACGAGACACACCCCATCTGAGGGGCAAACCAGTCAACTGGGATAATACGACACGGTTTTCACATGGTTTGCAGCAAATCACAAATCAATCACCTCCAACATTGCTCGAATTTATGGCCTCAGAAGGTAAAGAGAAAAACAATTAGAAGGCAGAAACTAGATAATACAGAAAAGAGTCACTAGAAAATCGAAACATTTTTGAATGTATGTCAAGCGTATACGTCCGTCAGTCTGCAAGTTTTCGTTCCTCTACTCCGTTTTTTTTTTTTTTTCCGCCCTACGCAAAGCCAGACCAGAGCCTAGGTTTAGATGCTAGTGTGCGGCTTTATTAGCAATGATACGAATAATATAGACAGAATGTAGACTCACCGGCGACTCCCAAAGAAATCGTTGAAGCCCGGCTGGCTATCCCCACTAGATCCAGGGGAACCGCGGGGTTCTTGCTCATTGGAAGGTTCGCCCTTGGTGTCGTTATCAGGGATAACTTCGTCTAAAGAAAGTTCAATCGTCAGAAACGCTTAGAGAATGCTCCTACAACCGAGAACTCACGTGCATAACAGCATCTACTACCGTAGGTGCAACCTCCATGAAGCCAGGCCAAGCAGGTCTTGGTCTTCCACTGGCCGTGACGGGGAACGGCGCGGAGTTCCTTTTGACCATGAGCAAACTGGCACGAGCGGCCATAGCGACAGTCCCCAACCTCGTTCCAGTTGCGGCACATCTCAGTTTTGTAAAGAGCGTTGGTCTTCTTGTCAAGATGGCGAGGCGGGAGATCCACGTTGGTGGGACAAACCCTTCTAACGTTGTCGATGACCAAAGGTCTTTCAACAATAAACCCATTAGGGGTGGAATAGTGCCCAACACCGTCGTCAAAGCAAGGCGGGATCCTAGGGGTGGGCTCAAATTGGATAGCGGTTCTAACGTCTCCGGAATGCGCACCATTGTCCTCTCCGTCGAGGACGAGCTATCCAAAGGCAAAAATATTAAGCCCCTCTTCACCACGATCGCAAAGCCAGGAAAACACCTACCGAACTAGTGAACCCGCGGCCATACCCACCGCTGTTTTCACCCAACAATCTAGTAACCAGGAGAGACCTCGGATACTCACGGACACTATTTTCCCTTGTCAGTACTGTATTGAAAACAACCAAAAGATGAAAGCCATACCCATAGAGAGGATGATCGTCATCAATGAATCCATCCTGCCCACCAGCGCCGTTCACATTGCCGCCGCCAACTAGTCCGAACATCTCGCCATCAACACTTGTCTCCAAGTAACCCCGAATACGCTTGATCATGGCAGGAAATTCGGTTTTATCGCAGGCAAAAGGGACCCAAATGTTACCCTTACCATTGTTATTTTGAACGAAGATAGGAGTCCCATGATAGACCAACCCATCGTCAATTGGAAGAACAGGGGGGTCCTGAATCTGGACAATAGTGGCATGACCACAATTGACCCCGACCTCACGTTCGGAAAGATACGGGCCACCCTTCTTATAAGCCTTTTGGCGCTCGACCGCTGCACGACGCTCCTCGAAGACGTCCTTGTAGCGGAAGATGAGATTAAACGGAGTGCCCGCAGGGACTCTAACAACAAAGAGACCTCTAACGGTCTCATTGCGAACAAGGCATGCCTCCTTACCGTAAAACTCGGTAGGCTTGTCATGCTTGTAAAACTGAATTCTCCCGGCATCCGAGAGATAGTAAGGGCCGCAAAGAGTGGAAGAGCGAGCTGCCGTAGTCAAGCCATCAGAAACCTTTCAAGACCGGATGGAAGAATAAACTCACTGTTAATTCTAACAAACTCTCCATTACGAGAATTGGTGTAAAGCTTGTCGGCAGCTTTGGGGCTGCCATAGACACCTAGAGCAGCGCTCTGGCCATTCAAGAACTGCCCAAAGGTTAGCAAACACCCCAGTGGGGTCGAGAGTGAAGAAATAAAATCAAAGAAATTACTCACATGAGAGAATTCATCCAGTTTGTGGGCCGAAGACCCAAAAGCGGATTCGTCAGACATGCTGAAAATTCGAAAAGAAAGGTATGAAGAGGTGTAAGGATGGGGGTTGGTGAATGAAGGGTACTTCCACCAGCTGTGAAGTGATGGAGTCGGGGAGTTTGGTGAGGGGAAGGAGGGGGAAGGAAGGGAGGAGAGGGAGAGGAGAAGGTGGGGATGGGAGGTTTATAAGGACGAGGTTTAGGGGGGGGGGGGGGCGGCGAAAACTGGAAATGGCCGAATTCGCAAAGAAAAAAAACTCATAAGCCCTTGAGGGTGTGGGCCAGAGGTACGGAGGGAGAGAAGTAGAATGGTTAGAAGTTAGGGAGTAGGGAGTAGGGGAGGAAGTAGGTATGGGAGAGAGAGGTAAGGAAGTAGGGAAGGGGGGAGAAAGAAAGGCAACCCAGCAAGCTATCGTGTCTCCCTTTCTTCCCCATTCCCCCGTGCCCGGTCGGTGCATGCTCCGCTAGAGAGATTACGTATCCACAGTGACAAGTGATAAGACTTCTCCGTTGTACCTCGTAGTCCGACACGCCGCGCCTTGGTTCATGAACAGACTGAGATAGCTGGGGCCTCGCTCGGTGGTTGTCGGTCTTCCACAAACTGTAGTTATATAGCAATATAATTAGTACAAATGTCTTCACCCCATATCGAGTGAGGATATATGAGTGTTAGGTAAGGTCAACACTCACACATAGAGGCAGTACTTCTCTTGACCCTGGAAGCCTCTATATAGCGAGCCGAGTAGAGATAGTCTCTCTAGTAACCTTTCTAGGCATTTGCGGTGGGTTGGTATACGGGCCGGCCAACGGGGGTACGCAGGTAGGCAAGCCACAGCGGGCAAACAGAAACCGAAGCTGGACATCGTAGGCAGTTATCCCAAGGCTACCTTGATACCGACCATTCAACAGAATCAGTCAAGTATCCAGCCAACCCCCCTACCCACTAAGCGCCCTCTAGAGCACCATTAGTCGTTAGTGAAGCGATCGCATCAAGAACCAGAGGGAATACAAACCCAGCCAAAGGAAACCTATTGGTCTCCTTGCTTCCCGAGCAAAAAAACAAGTGCGAGTCCCGCTCGTTATGCGCAAGTTGAATGCTATCGGATTCGCTGGGCCGTGCTTCGATGGGACGAGTTGGGATGAGGAGGGAAGGAAGAGAAGGACCAGCACAGGTGGGCCCGCCTATCTACTAGTGTGAACCGAGGGGACTGCGATGGGGTGCAAATACTATGACTGTCATGGCATATAATGTGGTATACCCGCACCAATTATTCTATAAGGATACCCTAATTCGCACAAATCGAGACAGACCGATGGATACTGGGGCCCATACCCGCTTGGGATGCTCTACTATAGGTTCTGGATACAGCCCCAGTCTACTGGGTATCATGCATGCTCACTCGAAATCACGCGGGGAACATGGGGAGGTGGGGGGGGGCGTTGTTCAGTATACTGGTGATAGCGAGCACCCGTCATAGCGAGCAAATCTGCAAGTTTGAGCAATGCAACACAGTCGGTTAAGCTACAGTCTGTATTGCAGTAGCTGCAAGTATTTGGGCGAATGGCTCGCTATGCTGTGGACTACGTTAGGATAAAAACAAGAAAAACTATAATACATAGCCCACTCCCCACCCACTACGATAGCCAGACACCCTTTGAAGGGAGATGGGGAATAATCAGAGTTCGCTCCTAGATACTCGAGTTGCCTCTCCTAGTAGGCTCTGTTTGGCGGGAACAGAACCGTTCGTGACCGTTCCGTTTCGTAACAGTCGACTCGGCACATTTCAGAGCGGAGCAGTCGTTTCATTCCATAGTTACCAAACACCAGTTCAGTTCCTTCCATTTCGAAACTGAAGGTAACGGTCGTATCCGAACAGGCCCTTAACATGAGGTCCAATTATTCCGGCACCTGCAGGATGTTGTAGTCAAGGCTCCGGGACATCATGGTGTCCCGATCGCCAAAATTAATTTACTTCCGCGTCCCGTAGGAGGCAACAGCAACAATACAATTCGCAGTTTTAGGTAACCTACCCGATTTCCCGCGCCACAAACAGAGTTGTCAAATCATAATACTCCTCGTTATTCTTCAGCGATAATATACCCACCATCACTACGTAGACTCGAATCAATTTATGCGCCATCGACAAAAAAAAAAAAAAAAAAAGTACCATGGCGCACAATTAATCCCAGCACGGTTACAATATTCGGTATATCTAATCACTGTCCCATTAACCGAGTGATATCTTATGCGACACAACAATACAGCAACATGCCAGCATCATTTTTATATACTCTACGGATTAAACACATGTACAAAGATCCAGCGCGGCTTCCCCGTGTATATCCACCCCGAGCTCCATCCACTCTTTTCATTCAGCCTAATTCCGCCTGGCCCGGTCGCTCCTAATAGTGATATGAAAAAAAAAACAGTGAGAACAGAAAGAAACAATACGGAGGAATCAAAAGACAAGAGCATAAACTAAAATAAATAACTCATGACCGCCCGGGCCCACCTCTAGCCTCCCACTCCTTCAACCGAGCCCTTTCTCGCTCCTTCTCCCGCTCCTCCTCCTCCGAATCGCTTTCCACATATCGTACGCTCGCAACGGGCGCTTTTTCCTTCTCCTCGTCGCTATCGTATGGTGGCAGCACATTATTCCGACCATCACCCGTGACAAGTCCGAGCATTTCTTCTTCAGTCCTAACGGGGCCGGGGGCAGAATTTCCGCGGGAGCCTAGACCTAATCTGGGGAGGTGAATGTGTGAATGTGGGGCGGAACTCGTGACCGGCTCTTCGATGTGTACCACAGAGGAGCTCGAGCGTGAGCGGGTGTGCCCGTGTCGGCCAAACATACTCTGGAAGGAAAACTGTCGACGGGCGCTAGAAGAGCGGCTGGAAGGTCGGAGGAAGTCGGGAGTTGATGGCACAGGCGGTGGAGTTGCGGGCGATGATTGTAGTGGGAGAGCAGTATATTCGCTTCCTCTACTCGCCGTCCTCCGATGGCTAGGGGAGGATTGTCCAGTCGCGAAGTCGCGTGTGCTCGTGGAGAATTCGTGCATAGGGGGCGTTACAGCGAGATGTGGGGTCCCAGGTGGTGCAGACATGTCTACCATTGGCAATGGCGGCGGATGTTCCGAGCTCCCGTGGCTCCGAGCTGACAGGGGGCCACTAGCATCACGGAGATCCCGGTGAGGTGTCGAGACGCCTGCTTCGCTACGAAGACTAGGGGAACTGCGTTGCCTAGGGATAAATAGGCTCTTAACTCGCTCTACGATACCGGCAGGGTGTTGACCCGGCTCATCAGGTTGAATACCATAGACCTGCGTTCTCATTGCCTCATCGACACTCATACTTCTCCGACGACCAGAGTCAATGACTGTCGCTGGGGTTGATGATTCCACGCCCTCCTCTAGGTCCGGCATACGAGACATTCCAAGCGGCGGATGAGACTCCGACATGGTGTTTCTCCGCCGAGGGGCTCCATGAGCACTGAAAGTAACCCTCCTCCTAACGCCATCCCATTCCACGTCCTGGTTCGGCCCGTTAAGCATTTCGTTGATCTTCTCTTCCCTAATCCGCCTAGCTTCTTCAACTTCAGCATTCTGCCTCGCAATGGATATCCGACGGATAATGGCTGCTGTCCCGCGAATGGCATCCGCTTTGGGTTCGCTTTCTGGCTCAGATTGTTCAGCAACAGTGCGCACTTGGTCAAGGTCTCCACGGAATATCTCTGTGTCCGGAACATCCTTAGCACTCTTCGACAGCTGTAACAGCACTACGCCTGAACAGATCTGCAAGAATCCCATCACAACACTAGGAAAATTAGCAGTGAGTAAATCAAAATTTCAGGATCAACACACGTCGCGATAGAACTAGGAGTTCCCTTAAACCCCCTAAATAGGATGGCACTGGTCACAATCGTAGAACTTGTGAAACACACATAATATGTTGGCGTCACCAGGGCCGCATTGAAAATGTTCAAAGCTTTCTGCAAATAATTAGCTATTGTCCCGGGACGCAGAAATTTCAAGGATAGCCATACGTTCAGGTAGACTATCTCAACCAGCAATGTCACAATCACGAAGACCAGAAGCACGTAAAGAAACCACTGATTAAACTGTGGGGTTCCGGAAGCCTGTTTAACGACGGCAGCACCGAGACCTTGAGTCGCAACGACACTAGTCCCATCAGCAGCCATATTGCGATTCCCCACAACCGGCGGACAAACCTCAACCCTCCAATTAAACTGCAAATACTGATATACACCATCATACTCTTATTCCCATACTTTGGTGCAACCCATATCACCACCCCAACACATCCGAGTATGACGATCCCGGCATAGGATAAGAAGCCAGGCGATATAATAAAATGTTTCATATCCTGAATAGAGTTGACAGATGATTGTTCCGGGGCATTAATGACAATGACTATAGACCCGACTATGCACATAAAGCATCCGATCTTTCCAACAAAGGACAACCGTTCACCGAGGAAGATGGAAGACAGAATGGCAGTAATAACGACAGACTATTCCCAACTACAATTAGTCTCCAACCCATAGTAAATCCACCCGGGAAAGAGCAAACTCACCAGAGCGCCAAGGGGTGTAACCAGAATTGCCTCAACGAAAGCATATGCGCAAAAATTGCAAACCTCCCCCAGAATCACTACCCCAAAAGAGCACCAATCAGCCCAAGAGTACCGTCTCCGCCAAACCGCCCGCCCTCCAAGTAGAGAGAGGGGAGGGGGGAGAAGGGCAAAACAAACTCAATATCATCCCCGACCACCACCAAGCATTCTTCAAGTATCCATACCCCTCACCAGCCTCCTTTCCGTCCTTCAGATTCGCCGCCAGTAAGCCCTTCTTTTTGAGCACGAACGAAACACCAATAAAGACCCCCGAGGAGACGGCGAGAGCTACACCGATGGCTTTGTATCTATTTTTTTATCATTTACCAAATTAGCGAGAGAACCGGAGGAACAACGATAATGGGGGAGAGAAGGGGAAAGTTACACTGGAGGCCGACCCTCGGCACCACCAAGACCATGACCCCCGCTCGCTGCCGAAGTAGAACTCACGAGCGCACTCGCGGTTGCCGAAGCTATGGTTGAACTCATGATGTCCTTCCTCTCCTGAGGCGTCTACCCTCCCACTCTTACTCTCCCAACTCTTTTTCTCAATTATCCCGTCCCTCTTGTCCTCGCCAGCGTTGTTTGTCCGTCTCCACGTCTCCACCCCGTCCGTTTCGTGGCCGCCCCTTCTCGTCCCCTCCGCTCGGTGAAAGCGCCGTAGTTCTGGATCGTTTCGAGAGCCGGCTACAGGAATCCCCCCCTCTCTTTCAACAAACAAGGATGTACCGAACTAAAACGCTCTTGGAGAATTTTCCCTCTTCCTTTTTCCTTCCTTTTTTCGATTGGCGGGTGGGCGCGAGCTGAGCTTTTCCCGTCGTCTGTCCGTCCGCCTGTCCAAGGCCAAGCAAGTGGAAAGGCGAATACCGTACCAGTACGATAACCGACTGTGGGTTGGGGGGTTAGCGTAGGGTAGAAATGCAGTTTACTCGAGCACGCCGTATCGAATTTGTACGATAGCAGCCTCCAAAAGCTTGTTCCAGTCCGTCGGTTCGCTCGCTCGGTAGGGTACCGCAGTGAAATGTAAGTACTGGTATTCCTGCGAGGCCGCCCGCAAATCTAACCTCCACCAAGCTGCTGTACTGGCACTCGTACTCGTACAGTACCCGAGCAAGCACAACACAGCACAGAACGGAACCTAACCGCCCAAAAGTGAAAAAAATAAAATGGGATGGAAAAAGAGGGAGAGGCTTCGCGCTCGCCCGCCCGCTCGTTTCGAAAGATCAAAGTTTCAGCAAAAAAAAGAAAGAAACCAAATCACCGTATCGGTAACTTAGCAGCGCGTCGTCACTCGCAATTATCTTCTTTATTCCCCTTCAGTTATGATACCCTCGGGAAACAAGCAGAGATAAGCGCTGTATCATACTCGTACATAAAAGATCATCTCGTCATAACAATGCCTACTGGGAAAAGAAATGAAGAAATGAAACGAAAAAGGGCACGACGAAGGTGAAGCGGAAGCAAGCAAGCAAGAAAGCAAAGCATGGTTGGGGAAAACAAGAAAAAGATGGAGCGGCAGGAGCAGATCCGCCTCCACCTTTGTTTTCTGACGGCGTGGTTGGTCCCCCCTTTCTCCTGTTCTCCAGGCAACCGGCACCAGACCACTGCAGTACCGTAGACAAACTCAACGGATGGGCGACCTCCCTGTCAACTCTGCTCGTACTAGCACTGGTATGGCTGGGATCCGCATATACACGTGTTCGAGTTACTCGAGTACGAGTACTCGTACAGTACAGTACGAGTACTCGAGCACGGCACCGGCACTTGCAAGTTGCAACGGATCACCAGAGTTGGACGGATCCGTGTGGGTTTAAGCGCGCCACCGTGCTTGACAGGAAGGTAAACCGCTCCTTGGAAGAAGAAGCATGCATGATACTGCAGTTTGGTGATGACAATGCGGTTTGTATGAGGCAGGAGCTGTTACAGGTAGTCTATCCGTAGACTACAGTAACCCACCGTACGTTTGACTGGCCGACATCGCCGCATCCACCTCAGGGCAAACAAAGAAGTGAACTTCCTATCTTGCAGGCGTCACTTGAAAAAAAGAAATTTTTTAAAAAAAATCAAGCCCAGGCATCGTACCGGTACTCCCAAAACGCAGTGCACGGTATCAATTACCGGTACAGTACATCACCCCAAATTGGTCCTTAAGAAACGCTCCGGAAGCACAGGCACCCGATAAATTTTCCTGCCCACTCAGTATGAAACGATCCGATCCTCTACCGCGCCGCGACACCCCCCACATCAACCACGCAAGGGGCAAGCTCATCACCGACGCTCATTGGACAATGCAACCGGCTGGTCACGTGAATTACACCAACGCAGCAGCACAAGAAAGTGAGCTTACTGTTCCAGTATCTGTCCGACATTTCTGCCAATACTCGAGTACCAGTAGACTACCGGTACCGTAAGCCGCGTTGGCCTCCTGGAAGCCTCATGTCCGCTCACTCGGAGTTGGGGTATGGGGGTTGATGGGCAGGGGGAGGGGGATACGGTATATAGCTTTGTTTGCACTGCCGGGTTGGGAGGTTGGACGATGGATGAGCTGAGGGAAAAAAAAGGGAGGAAGGAGGACGAGCGGCTACGTTTGGGGGTGCGTACGGCACCGTACCGCGCTGCACTCGTACCACGCTGCCAGAGTAGGATGTGACGGGTATATTTTGGGGGGGTGTTTGAGGATCATCTCGAGCTGTTCGGGTAGGATACCGTGGTTTCCGCCATGCTGGTGGGGAAGCCACTCGAGTACTACTAGTAGTATAGTACGGTACCAGCACATACGTGACACCCGTAACCCACCGCAGAGTAAGACGGAGGGCTGGATTCTGTCCTTGTCTGTGCGACAAGCGGTGCTGAGTATATATCGCTATGGTATCCCTCCCGTTGATTTTGGTCTGCCATACCGGTACTTGCAGCGCTACGCCGTTCAGAAAGTTCTCGGGAGAAAGTGGCACATCTGGATCGCTACGTGTACCGGTAGGGGGACAGTCCTTTGCTGTGTTTTAATCGACTGCAGTAGAAAAGAAGTCCTATCGTACAGGATGGGATCCGTGGGTCACCTTCGGAGATTGTCATGCTCGATTGGGTGGATATCTCGTGGGCGAGTATTCGATACTGCACCGGTGGCTTGGATGGGGAGGCTGGCATTGTATGATAGATTTGAAGGGCTGATGACTGCCCATGTGTCCGGTACTCGTATGAGGAAGTATCAAAATTTTGGCTGGATTGGAAATTACAGTGCTCGTGTGGGTGTATCAACGTTCTGAAAGTCTCATACGGGATGTAAATTATGGGATCAGGGGCCAAATAATATTTAGTGCCATGATTCCGGGCTGAGTTTGTTGTGTGGTACAGTATTGCGACAATGACATCCTTCATGGTTTGTCAATCCCGAGGGCTGGTTCCTACCACTATCAAACTTTCGCTCCCCCTCTCCCGCAAACCCAACCGCACAAACAGCAAAAACCAAACCAAAAAAAGCTCAGATGCTCTCAAGTTGTCCCTTAACGGTAGTGCAAAGAAACCCAGGGACAAGTCAACATCGCCCGCAGAACCGAAGCTCCGCGAGAGCTGCAATTGTCATCCGAAAGGCATTCATCACAGGTTTTTAGTTTGGTGGGGAAAGGAGGAGAAGGAAGGGAAAGCACCCCGTGTGGGTTGGGCTGGGCCCCTCTTATTGGAGTTCTTTCCCCTTCTCGCCAAGACCTTTTTTTTTTTTTTTAATGTGGCGTGTCGGTTGGGCCGCCGCCGCACTTTTCCTCCCACCCAACGCGGCTCATTGCGGGGTTAGCGTTCGGGACTGAGCCGATGACCAAAATGGATGACCGCGAGTCCGTCTACGGGGAAACGTCGGGGAGGTGATTCGCATGGTTTTGCTCCTGTCGTGGAAAGCGCCAGGCTGCTCGCGTGGAGCGATTCGGTACCCACTGCCTTTAAATCGTTTCTTGTGCGCTCCCAAAGCCGGGTCCCGCAAATCTTTCTTTCTTTCTTCACCCCTACAGCTAACTTCCTGCTGGTTATAAAGGGAAAGCCCTCTTTGCTCCCGAGTCTCTTTTGCCACTGGAACTGAACCCCCCTCACTCGGATCAATTGAGATGCTAGCTCGTTCAATCTTGAGGCAACAGGCCTCCCGTCGTCTGGTTGGGAAAGTCGCCAAGAATGCCTCCGGATTTTCCACCTCAATTGCTCGCCCTGCCGGCATACTTCCTGCTTCTCATGATAAAGTAGGCCCCTCATATCTCTTTCTACGAGTTTATCGAGTAGGATTCAGCCTGATTGTGTTGTCTCTAGCTCCTGAAAGCGAGCTTGAGTGAGACAGACCTGGAAATCTCCGGAATTCTTGCAAACGTGAGTCATCCACAGCTTACCTCCGGCCAATTGTGAACTGGCTAAATACGAAGTTGTGCTGCAGGAGAAGAATAGGCAGAGGGATTTTGTGAACCTTATCCCTTCGGAGAACTTCACTTCGCAATCCGTCCTGGATGCCCTGGGCTCGCCCATGCAGAACAAATATTCTGAAGGGTACCCAGGAGCTAGATATTACGGAGGCAATGAGTGGATCGATGCGGCGGAGACTTTGTGCCAAAAGAGAGCTTTGGCCGCCTTTGACCTTAATCCGGAGGAATGGGGCGTGAATGTTCAATGTTTGAACTGGTTCCTCATCTGGTCTGGGAGCTTCGCTGACGGGTTGCAGCGCTTTCCGGAGCCCCGGCCAACTTGTACGCTTACTCGGCCATCATTCGTCCTCATGAGAGGATCATGGGATTGGATCTTCCCCACGGCGGTCATTTGTCTCATGGATACCAAATTCCCGGAAAGAAGATCTCTAAGATTTCAGAGTACTTTGAAACTTTGCCTTACCGCCTCGACCCAAAAACTGGCTTGATTGACTATGACAGCATGGAGAAGCTCGCTGAGCTCTATCGGCCAAAGATCATTATTGCTGGAGCCAGTGCATATTCCAGGATCATTGACTATGCGCGCATGAAGCAGATTGCTGGGAAGTATGATGCTTATTTACTCAGTGACATGGCGCACATCTCTGGCCTTGTTGCTGCTGGTGTTACCGAGAGCCCTTTTACCCATAGTGATATCGTTACTACTACTACTCACAAGTCATTGGCGGGTTGCTCCGTTCTTGTCTATCAAGGTTGGTAGGGAGGCTAACATTTCACAGAGAGGACCCCGTGGCGCCATGATCTTCTTTCGCAAAGGTGTCCGGAAGACTGATAAGAAAGGCAAAGATATTATGTACGAGCTTGAGAACCCCATAAACACCTCCGTTTTCCCTGGGCATCAGGGTGGTCCTCACAACCATACTATCACTGCCCTTGCTGTCGCTCTGAAGCAGGCCAAAACCCAGGAGTTCAAGGAATACCAACAGCAGGTTCTTAAGAACGCCAAGGCGCTTGCTAACAAGCTCTCCGCTCTCGGCTACGAGATCGTTTCCGGAGGCACAGACAACCATCTCGTCTTAGTCGACTTGAAACCGAAGGGCATCGACGGAGCTAGGGTCGAGAGGGTTTTGGAACTCATCAATGTTGCCGCAAACAAGAACACTGTTCCCGGCGATGTCTCTGCCCTCAAGCCCGGCGGACTCAGATTGGGTTCTCCTGCAATGACCACCCGCGGCTTCTCAGAGTCCGACTTCGAGAAGGTTGCTGGAATTGTCGATAGGGCTATAAATATTTCCAAAGACTTTAACGCTACTGTTGGAGGCAAGAAGCTCAAGGACTACTTTGACAAGCTCAGCAGCGGACACGCCGTCCCCGAACTTGTCCAACTGAAGAAGGAAGTGGCGGAATGGGCCGGGGATTTCCCTCTGCCATGGAGCAATTAATTTTGAGAGCGAATTTCACTTATTTGCCCTTGTTAAATGGGAGGTGTATATATCATACTTGTATCTCGTTCCTCCTGGCCCTTTCTCGATTTCCTGGGTTTGGGGTTTGTGGGAGTTTTCTGTCTTCCAATAGTCCGAGTCAGTTGTCAGTTGCAAGCATGTTACGGATTCAACTTTTTTTCCCTTTTTTCTCCCAATGAGTGGTCAAGGCTTTATCATCACGGGGGCTGCCGCAGAGCCGCTATTCTTGGCTTTCATCACAGGTTTCAGAGGCGCATGTGTGGATTCGGGAATGGTTCTCCAATCTTGACGGGTATGTGGGTCCTGGTGTGGTGGTGAAAGTAGCACCGGGCACCAGACGAGCCCCGACCTCCTAGACAGACGGAGCTTGTTGACTTTCCCTGGGCATTTAGGGTTCATGGATGTTTGATACGGTGGTTTTTTTTCTTTTTCTTATTTTTCTTCCTCTTTCGTAATCTCGGACTCCATGCAAGTGTATGGCAGGCTCCTGCAGCATCCTGCTATTGATGGTGGAGTGCAGGTGCCGCTTGAATTCTAAGCCAACTACTCGAGTATCGGTGCTCGTACACTGCGTCAAGCGTTTCTTGGGGACTTGAATTAACTACCGGTATCGTACTCATCGGACTTGGCTTGGATTTCTGGGCCATACTGTGCGAGGGGTCTAATTGCGCAGATATCCTGATACTGTAGTGGGCGTATCATGCTACCGGAGAATGGTAAATATGGTAGAGCTTGGTTCATTTTTCCAAGAGTTCGATGATTATAATACTTTTGTACCGTGTGTTCTACTCGTATGCATGTGTTGCGCCGGTTATCCTGCCCAGAATTTTTCTTAATATCACACTTAACATGCTTTAACACCTTTGAACATATTCTAGTAACACCTCTTGTCAGGAGAAAGCGTGTGTAGAACACACGACACATGGTCTGCCAAAGAGCCCCTTAGACTACTTGTTCTCGGCGGAGACAAAAGAGCTGGCTCGATTGTGACCGTTGAACCCCACCACCGCCTCACGTCAGGGCCACGAGTACGGTTACAGTACGCCAAGCCTGGAACTGTCGTCATCCACTACTCAAGGGGAAGAATTGGCCGCGAGTTTTTGGCAGTCGTCATATCACAGGGCATACTGAAGTGCCGGGCACTTGTAGTCAACTTAAAAGCGGAGCGGGAATAATTTCCGAGAAATTTCAACCACAACCGCATCTTTCAGAAGATAGCCTCATGGAAGTGCTCAGAAGACATTTCTCTATAATTCTATGTTTTCTGGTTTTCAATCAGAGCAACGTTGGTGGACATGGTAGAATTTCGAAGTTAATTTTGCCAAGACCCACTGTTTTGTGTTGTGCGTATTACGTAAGCAAAGTGATTTCAAGTGCCCGGCCATGGGTGAGTACTCGTACCGTACAGTATTGGTAGACTCACAGCCCCAATCTGTTGCTAGGGACCAAGAAAACGTCACCAGGGAGCACTGCCCAGCCCGTTCCGAGACGAAGTTCTCGGAACGGGGAAACTGCCCCCCCACTATGCAACCATAGCCAACCACTCAATCGTCCATCCAACCTTCACCTTAACCTTCCCATTCCCACACCCTATCAACACAAACAGGACGCGCAAGCATTTCGTTATTTCTGAACAGAGCGAAGGTTGTTTGTTTCCCGCCCCCCTCTATATAATACTCATCCCGTAGCTTTTCTCCTTTGTTCTTTTCTTGCCTGACTAACCCCCCACCTTTCCGTGTGCCCCAGCTACCCCGCCTTCCATCCCATCGGCCGCATTTGCGTCCCAACTCAACAATCGCAAAAGAAACGAAAAAGTCATGAACGTGTTCAAGCTCGCTAGGAAGTACCCCGAGCTTGGCCAGGAGGGCGTCATGGCCCTGCAGGATACGTTCCTGCGCTCGGACCAGGACGAGAAGGGGTACCTGGACGAAGCTACCGCCATCAAGACGGCTCAAGAACTTGAGAGGAAGCCGTACGATGAGGTCCGCGCAACCTTGAAGCAAGTTGAGCTGGATAGTTCGAGGAGGGTGGAGCTGGATGATTTCGTTGATGTTTGTTACCATCTACAGTCAGGGTTCCCGGTTGCGATGATGCTGACGGATGGTTTGCTTGGCAGCTCATCTCGAAATTAAGAATGACGGACGGAGCGAAGCCGGGCCGTGCTCCGGTCGTCTCGCATGCTAGGGCAGGGTCCACGGGACGCGGGGGCGGAAGTGGTGGTGGGCAGATTAAGATGGGGGGTGCGACTGGCGCCACCACGCACACTATCAACGAAGATGAGAGGACCGAATTCACGAGACATATAAACGCCGTGTTACTTGGGGATGCGGATATTGGAGATCGTTTGCCATTTCCTACCGACACCTTTCAGGTTTGTTCCTATACCTCGGGGATGACGATTGGGCCTGTGCTGACGTGGGGTAGATGTTTGATGAATGCAAGGACGGCTTGGTTCTCGCGAAGCTTATTAACGACTCGGTTCCCGATACTATCGATGAACGTGTTTTGAATCGTCCGAATGCCCGTACCAAGAAGCTCAATCAGTTTCAGATGACGGAGAATAATAACATTGTTATTAACTCTGCCAAGGCCATTGGGTGCTCGGTTGTCAACATTGGGTCGGGTGATATTATTGAGGTTAGGGAACATTTGATTCTGGGGTTGATCTGGCAGGTCATCCGAAGAGGTCTTTTGGGAAAGATTGATATCAAGTTGCATCCGGAGCTTTATAGATTGTTGGAGGACGACGAGACTCTGGAGCAGTTTTTGAGACTGCCCCCAGAGCAGATTCTGCTGAGATGGTTCAACTTTCACCTTAAAGCTGCGAACTGGCACAGACGGTATGTTTGCCTCGCGGTGGCTGGGTTGGCCTAGCTGATTGTTTTCAGGGTTGCAAATTTTAGCAAGGATGTCTCTGATGCCGAGAATTACACTGTTTTGCTCAACCAGCTCGCCCCGGACCAATGCTCTCGTGCACCTCTGCAAACACGTGACCTCATGCAACGCGCTGAGCAAGTGCTTGTTAATGCCGACAAACTTGGATGCCGAAAGTTTCTGACACCAAAATCCTTGGTTGCTGGAAATCCCAAGCTTAACTTGGCGTTTGTTGCCCACCTGTTCAATACCCACCCTGGCCTTGATCCAATCACCGAGGAGGAGAAGTTGGAGGTTGAGGATTTTGATGCCGAGGGAGAGCGAGAAGCACGCGTCTTTACTCTTTGGCTCAATTCCCTCGATGTCCAACCGGCTGTTAATTCTCTCTTTGATGATCTCCGTGATGGAACTATCCTTCTCCAGGCATATGATAAAGTTATCCCTGGTTCAGTAAACTGGCGCCATGTTAACAAGGCACCCTCTCATGGAGGGGAGCTCATGCGCTTCAAGGCCGTAGAAAACACAAACTATGCTGTCGAGCTCGGAAAGCAGAACCGGTTTTCTCTGGTCGGTATCCAGGGCGCAGACATCACCGATGGCCAACGTACTCTTACGCTTGCCATCACCTGGCAGTTGATGCGCCGTGACATTACGCGTACTTTGCAATCCCTCGCGCAGAGAGTTGGCGTATCAGAAATCACAGATTCTTACATGCTCAAGTGGGCCAACGATATGGCTAAGAGCGGCGGGAAGGCGCAGGGGGTCAGAAGCTTCAAGGACCCCAGTTTGGGGAGTGGAGTATTTCTTTTGGACGTACTTAACGGCATGAGGAGTAACTACGTTGATTACTCGCTCGTTACGGCCGGTAGAACTGAGGAAGAGGCCTATCTGAACGCTAAACTGAGCATCTCAATTGCGAGGAAGATGGGAGCTACTATTTGGTTTGTTTCCCGCGATGTCCCCCCTCTCCACTTGACGTTGGCGGCTAATAAATTGCACATAGGTTGGTACCTGAGGACATCGTCGCGGTCAGGTCTAGGTTGATTGTCACATTCTTGGGGAGTTTGATGGCGACCTATGAGACTTTGAATTGATTGATGTAGATCAAGAGAAAAAAAAAGCCAAAAGATCGTTTTCCTTTTTTATTTTCCATCGTCTTTTTTTTTTAGCACTGTGTCGGCTTTTTTTTCTTGTGCAAGCGGCGGTTGTGTTTCTTAGCATAGGTCACCTTTAGTTGGTTAGACGAATTGCAGTATCCTGATTTAGTATGGTACTTGCGAATGATGGTGTTAATCAAAATTTTCTGGTGTGTTGTGAGGTGCATGGATTGTCACTCGGTCTTGGCGACTATTGAGTTTGGGTTGTTCTGCAAGTTTGATACCTTATTTAAATACCGCGAGTTCAGAAGTGCGGCGCTGTGGGGTCATTAAGCTATTGCACGGGAGGAAACAGAGAACTCTAGAAACTAAGAGTTTATGTGCCTTATTGCTAGATCATTTCGGTACGTTACAGGAGAACTATAGGTTGAGCTAGCGCTTGTCTTCTGTATAGTGCCGACAGTGCCGGATTCCCCCACCTTTTCATAGATACCCTTTGGCTAGTACGAACAGCGGTGATTTGGTTCTATGGATGGAATCCCGCGCCGGTGAGAGCCCCGTTCGTTGCTAGAGATCTTCCTAGCCTAAGCTAATTATAATTGAAACGAATCTCTCCAGTTGACACCCCGTGAATGTTCTGTTATTTTTGATAACACAAAGCGGGAGGATATTTTCTAGGAGTTAAGGAGAGAAAGACGTTCCGAAGGACCGGGAAGATTCACGACAACAGACCCCTCCAAACATAGACCATACATCAAGATTAAGCAACCCGCAGGCGACAAGTAGCGGCAGGCATTGAGGGAATACGAGTTGTCGAAATCCATGCGGGTGGCAGATGGTATTGTGTAGTTTTTGTCGCGGCAGAGCGGTTGCCTCGCCAAATACCACTCGGTGGAAGCAGAAAATTAGCCCTCGATCACAGCCGGGAAAGAGGCCGGCTCTGGGCGAGCGCGATATCCGAGGTTTAGTGCAACTATCTGATTTACGTTCTCGGGTTGTATTGCCTGATATATCGCGCGAGCAGCTATCATGGTTCCAAGATTGAACCTAGAGGTGTCGGCGATTATCTATCCCGAGTTCATGTGACCTGTTTGTTTTGCTTGCGTGCAAGGTGTAGCGGCGGCTGGGATATACTCCTGCCTTTACAAGTAGCTTAGAGGGTGAGGAGCCGAACAAGACAACGAAGTTTCTGACCATACCTTTTTCACACATTGCCGAAGTCCGAGGCTGCCACATTCCTCCCATCATACTCTACCGCTGCGCTTTCTGTTATTCACCCCGCAACCATTCAGACTTCTCCCCGCGGTAAACTCGGGGTAGAATGTAATTCGGATCGTACCGTCTCTTTTTTTGTATCCTTAGGATTTTGTAATTCTGAGAATGTCGTTGTTCGTAGCTGCCGGGAGCAGTGTTGGGTTAATAAATGTCCAAGTTGGGGGCTGCTGATACCATGAACGAGTGATAATTTATGATACTCGTTGCTCTACCCCTGATAGTGTGTGGTGTAGCTGTTGACAAAAATTTTGCTTACGCGGAATAGGGACAAACTTGGGAAACTCCCCTGAAAGGGTGCTGGGTTGCGTAAGCTACCTCTGATGGATTGCTGCATTGTATTATACGTGACGAGTCAGCAATGCAATACCATGGGATTCTAGCTATATAGCCCTCTTTATTCTCCCACCCTCTCCGCTCAACTCCCACCCCTTACTTACCGCTAAATTACCTGCTGTACCTATCCTCATAACTCCAACGCTCTTTCTCCTTTTTGTCGGAGAATTACCTACCTTACTCAACTATGGAATACAACATGGTCCGTGGTTTTGACTCGGAACGGAAGATGGAGAAGACGACCGGGAGTGTTTTCGGACCTTTACCCGATCAGGATGTAAGTTATAATTTCGTCCTTTTTGATATTAAAGACGGTAGTGACTTAGGCTGCTTGCTAGCCCGATAATGGAATGGATATTGACAACAGTATGCCGGATGTGTCCCCCACGATGCGCTCCGCTTTGGATAACGCTTCATCGGGATATGGATCTGATGTTCGTATTCCGGATGGATTGGAATCCACGCTTGAAGGGGGGGAACGAAAATACGAGGAAATTAACGGTAGTGCACTAGGAGCGATGTAGGAGGGGATTTGTGCTGACTGAGTGACTTGGATTTAGAGGCCTCTGGTGCACCGGGTCCGAGCCAGCAGATGGAGGTTGAACAAAGCATTTTAGGGGGTTCTCGCCTCCAGTTTCCACAATTCAACTTTGCTCTCGGGAAGCTCTCGCCGGTATGGGAGCCGTGGCGTCCCTCGTGCCACGATGATTTAGACACCGAAGAAACCGGTTCTTCCAGAAGGGGCACGGTGGAGCAGATTCCGGGTTCTGTCGGTCTAGGGACGGACACTGGTATTTTTTCTGCCTCAGAGGCATCTGGTATTCAAGAGGCAACTATCGAGGCTGGTTTTTGTGGGGTCGACGTGTCATACCCGAATGACCAAGGCTTAGACGGCACATTCTTGAGCTCTTTCAATCAGGAAAAACGATCGGCTGTCTCGGCACAACCGGTGGTGAAGCTGTCGCTGATTGATGTGCGTCAACCTCCCTCCCTATTGCGAGAGAATTCTGCAGTCCCTAGCCAGAAGGAACGATCCCCCCGGGACAAGGATCCCTTCTCCTTTAGATTTCCTATGCGTGTGCCTGAAGCGCCACCCAATGTCGGATTTTCGTTCTCACCTAGATTGGATACGATTCCAAATGGAGAACCAGAGGTGTACGGGACCAAGTCTGATCGGAACAGGTGCGGAAACTCCCGATCAAGACTAGTGAAGACTGCAAAGCGTCATTTTCGTAGCGGCACTATATCTCCCGATCTTTCACGTTTGGGCGTGCCTGTTGAAATGAGTGGAATGACAGGAGAAACTCCACTTACGGGGTTTCGGTTTGTCGAACCTTATCATTCGGGTTCTGGCGGCCTCGTAGCTAGGGACCTAGATTCCACGGTAAGGGTATCCTGGGTGGTTTAATCCATATGATATATCTCCCGTCATGGTGGCTAAGTGGTTTTTGGTTCACGGGAGGTACTAATTTAATGTGTGCCTTAGTGTTTGTTGTGTAGTAGTTCCAATGTTTCCCCTCGTTGTCACCCGTCGTTCGATGGAGGGTATACCGAGTGGTGTGATCAGAAACTGTCCGAAAACACTTGTGGTGGGGTTCAAGAGGCAGACCGAGAAGCTGGCTATAGGCGGCATATACCCCGAAATACCGATGTGCAGGTTTGGGGCACGGAAATAACTGTTACCCGAGATGGGTTGCATGGTAAAAGAGGGGTTGAGGATTGCTCCCTTAGCTCTTGAGCTGGTCGGGCTGGCCTTGCTTTCGCCGTTATCATCTTTATGCCCCTTCTGGTCAACAGGGGAGAGATTCCTTGGGGGACGTTGTCGCTATTGTCAATTATTTGGGCATGAAACCAGAGGTTTTTCTATTTACGGAAGAGGACGCCTAGTGTCGCCTTGTTGGGGCCTTCATAGGAGTATCTCCTTCTGCTCAGTATTTGTATTGAGGCTGTTCGTAGAGGTCTATGGGTGGGTCTAAACAGGAGGGATCAAACTTATAGAGCTAGAGAAATCAAGGGATTATTTTACCTCCAACTTGCACAGACAAAGTTAGTGATCACTGGGCAGGCTTCGGTGAAAATCGGCCCAGACCGGGGGTGGATGGAGGTGATTTCCCGAGCTCCTTAGCTGGTGGGGTCCCTGGGCTAGCGTGGCCCTCTTCCAGAGTTACATATTTGGTGCAATGTTGCTATCAGTGTCGTGTCTCTAACCACGCCAAGAATAATTTCTTAACCCTAGCCATTATTGCTCTGTGGATCAGGCTGATGACAATACCAATAAAGTTTCGGTTTTGTAGTGCTGGGGCGTTTGGTGCCATGCTTGGTATCACATTCGCTCGTGCTGCTTTATGGGGTATCACTTTGCCCATGGCGTTAAAATTAAGGCAGCTACTCGAAAAATTATGAGCATTGAGGAAAAGGGTAAAGTACGGCCGAAAATCCCCCTAGGATAAACCTGGAATATGGGCTTGGTGACAGTGATGGAGGGGGAGGAAATAGGGGTAGGATTTGACAAAAAAGTGCCCCGTGGGTGAAGTGTACGCATCTCTCTTGCTGGAGAAGTTGATCCCAGGGCGGTTTACCAGACATTCTAGTGACATCCCAACCAGTGAGGAACGCTTTGACCGCGGTATGAACATTTTCTACGAGCTTCTCTGAACTGATAGGTAGGATTTTGCTCGCTGGGAGTAATGGTGATGCGACTCATGCGAGGGACGACGTTGTACGGATATTGTACGGTAGTGGAAACTCTCTCTAATCCGGGGCAAACCGCACCAGATAGAGTAAGAGATGATTTAGCTCCTGTATAATTGACACTTCACCCCACCGCTACCGACCGATCTGGTTACGGCACTTAAGAGTTTCCGGGGTACTGCGGGGGGGGGTATCGTGACTATTTGTCATGTTTAGCGGTGGGTAATATAAAGTATGATACTATCCTGGGTCAAAAAGTTTGGCTCGGGGACATCCTCTTGCGGAAGGATTCCATCTCACAGCACTACTCAGAGAGGCAACAATCAACCAACGCCTATAAAATCTACCGGAATTTCATAGCGCATTATTGAGCTTGTGGATTCTGGAGTTCTGACACCATTTCAGATGGAGTCCCATACTTGTACAGTACTGTACAACGCTCTTGCTAAGTCACCTCGGCGCCAGCTGGCACTGGACGGTGCAGCTGTGGATGGTGGGGCCCGGCTCTGCTTCTTTCTTTTTTTCATGCTTTTTAGTGTGTTGGGCGTGGAATGGATCTCCAACTGACGTTCACGATTCTAGCTGTTTTCGACATGGTACTGTGGCATTGGGGATGTCCCTTTGAATGTGTCTATTTTTTTCCCCTTCCTCTTATGGTCTTGTTTGGCACACAATCATACAGGGAAGCTGCCATTTTTCTGAAATCTCACTGATTTATAATTCCCTTTTCCCATATCAAACTACTAGGTCTTTGTACCCTAGGTTAGATGCTATCATTCCTTTTCATGAGTTTGGTAAAAATTCATTCACAATGAATGATTTGTATTAAAGGGAGTCAAGCTGATGGATGGATAGAAAATATTTGTTCCTACAAATTGGTTGATCCTTTACCTTTGTATATATGTTGAAACCATATATCTGGACGGCGATTTTGTAATTTTTAAACCCTTATACCTAGTAAATTTATACTCCAAAACATGAAAATTAATGGAAAAAAAAAAATTGAAAAAAATGGAATTGAAAATTGAAAATAAAGAAAAAGACCATTTCAATTGGTGTGCCAAACAGACCTCCATATGTTTATAAATATATGATGGGGAAAAAAAATGCCATTTTTCTTGGGCTCCAAACAAGGCCTAAGTTTAGTTTGAGTGGCAGGCGGCAGGCGGCCTCTGGTTGATACTGCAAGTACCCCCCACCACTATTCGCCGGTATTAAATACATACCGTACATGTTCCGTGAAAGAAGTCGATTGCGATCATTTGGCGGTATTGGGAGGGGATGAACTGACTGCTTGTGAACATAGGACGGGGTTCTTTAAGATTGCTATTATATCTGCCGCTACCCAATCGTATGTAATGGGTCTTCTAGTTCACTGCTGTTCACAAAACACAGGACAGGCATTATGATAAGCTAATGAATAATGGGAATGAGGAGTAGGAAATACAATAATATGGACCGGGTCTAACTGGAACTCCAGGAAGTGAAAGGATGAACAAGAAAAAGCACATCCATCATGGAAACCTATTTACATCGGAATCGGCGGAGGTAGGTCTTGCCCGTGTGCCCCGGTTCTTCGCTCGGCAATTATTCGCGGAATGGGAGCATGTATGCTGGCCAAGGATATAGGCGAGAAATGCTAAAAAGAATGGAGGGGGTGATGGTAAAATCCCCGTCCACTCGGCCGCAATTGGGAGGGTTGGTTGGGTGTTGTTTTGGGGATGAGTGTCAGTATACCTTGGAGCACTGGGCTTCAGTCACTAGGAAGGGGGGGTTGAAAGAACCTGGGTGGCTTCGGTTGGGGCGATGTCGTTATCTACAGACCCGCTAGCCAGGCTCTGCTGGTGGGAGTGCAGTCACGACATTACTCGCACTCGCACTCCGTAGTGTCTATAGGGCTATTTAACCCGGATTTGAGATAGCCCCTCCGCCTCCAGCCATAGTTCTGAAGCTAAATTTATATAAAACATTTGGAAAGAAAATTGAACTAGCGAAACGAGAACAAATACCGGAGGGGAAGCGAAAGCTTACCCACTCGAAAACAGGACAACTCCCATGAACCGCCCTTCGGGGGCGGAGCTCCCCACAGAGTTGGTATCTGAGCTCGGTCCATATTTCTAATCGGTTTCAAGTCTGGGGAATCAGCAGGCTAAGGCATCCTCTGATATCTCAGTCTTTCCCCTCCGACATTATCCCATAGATTGTAGGCGGACCACTCCGGGAAGACCTCCAACAAAAAGGAGCTGTTGACGATGCCTCCTAGGCCTTTTCAGCTAACCTGTTACCTATACCGTACCTCATCCAAAGCTCAACCTCCAGTAGTCCACCGGACTGCTCCGATGCCGATACTCGAGTGCAAACCGACACACCGCCCCCAACCTTCCCGCTTCCCCACACTCATCTAGGTACGGGACTCTTGTACCTACTCTCTATAACATTCCCCCGGCGTCCAAGCACAAACCTCCTGAAAGGGAGATAGCGGAGGGTTGCACCGGGCATGGGGGATGATTCCAGAGACAACACAGATGTTCTTTCGTGATGCCTCTCCTTGAAAACTGTTGAAACCCCCAAGCTACTGCTTGCCACACTTGACCGGTGACCCCCCTTTCCGTATTCCCTGACCCCCCCCCTTCCCCCCTTGCTTCCATCCTATTGCTCGTTCGTCGTTCGTGGGTTTGTTTGCACACGACCGGGCGATGGGCACGGAACGGTGGCGGGAGCTGGCCAAGCGTGGCCTGGTGCAGCATGCGGAACTCCCGGGAGCCGTATGCTCACCGGGAGTCAGGAAAGCGACCGGAAGGCCGCAACAGAAGGACAAGTGCTGGGGGGGAGGCAGCGGCGGTTTGTTTCTGAGTTCCTGTTTTTTGTTAGTTTGCTGCTTTGTTAAGTTTGTTTCATTAATTTGGATGTTTGGGGGACGGGGGAAGACTTACCTGGGTGGTGGGGGGATGGGGGATTGATTATTACCGATATATACCCCTGTCCCTACCGTTAGTTAGTTTAGTTAGTTGAGAGTCATTGAGAGTGGTTGATGGGATAGTTAGAGAGGAGAAAGAGAGAGAGCGGTGAATGGCGAAGAAGTTTTTCTTACACCACTTTCGCAGTTTCTTGGCGTTTCGTTTCGCCGAGTGACCGGTGGTGACAGCGGGCGCCTAAAAAAAACCTTTCTTCGAGAAATATGGTGTGTAAATTTAGTATTACAGACATACTCAAAGTGCGCACCTCGTAGACTATGGAATACTAGTGGATCCGGATACGGACCGAGAGTAGCCCACTCATCAAAGAGTGGGAGACAGTGACGGGCATATCACCTGGGGGGGGGTGTTGTAGAAGAAATATTTATCGTATAGAACCCCCCCGCATGGCGCCGATACTTGAACACCCCCGACCTACGGAGAATTAAGGGGTGCGTCACTCTTGTAACAGACTAATTATGGGATGATAATACGGTAGTACACGGTACTGAAAAATCCCGTTAAATCCACCATCGCCGGCAGCCCTACTATCTCTAGGTCCAGAGACGATCACTCCCGGAAAGTCTTGGAGTTCCCGAGAGACGGTTCAAGATCATCCCTCACCACTTGCTGAATCTCATTCATCGGTATTCCCAATCTGGCTGCCTGTCAGGCCAAACCCATCCCGGGCCATCGAGATAGTGGATCTCAGGAGGCTTTGCCGGTATACCATTAACCAAGTACTGTACCGGTTTGCCACTCTCTCGGCAGGGCATCCCAGCAGCGAGGAAAGCTCTTACTCATCCCAGTGCCCAAGCACTTAGGCGTCCAATTACGTGCGCATTTCTCCGGGCACCAGAATGCCATCCTGAACGACAAGTTACTGCAATCCAGGAAACCCAGAATCTTATTTTACTCGTACAGTTCTTATGCCATGCAGGGTATCGTAACACTCCAACTGGTCACCACTGTGTCTTCCAATAAGATAACTCCACTGTAACAAAATTACGGCCATGCAAGGGATGGATATTAGTATGGATCATAGTGCTCTGGGATACCAAGTATACCCGGCAGATTCTTGGACCTGGTTCTCCGATAACTCCCATCCTACCCATTTTCGCTAAGTTAGCTGATATCTCCTTTCCATGCTCCACGCGAGTCACGTGAAACTATACCGGTAGACAGTTGAACAGGAGAAGAAGAAAAGTACAAAATTCCACCTAGTGGCCTGGATAACCCGGGTTTTCATGCTGAGCTTTCCCAGAAGTAGGCCCGGCCGGTCAAGAGAGCTACGTTCCGCCATCTAGGATTTATCTAACCCCGCCTGCTAGCCGTACTACAACTTAGATATCTGCAGGCATCCAAACGGCCAGGAAAGCACGTATGTCGCCCGCAGATATGCCCCGATCGCAAAAGTATCCGAAAGTTCGGGATTCGCTTCGCCCGGCACAACCGTTGCTGACACGGTCAAGTGGGCAGAAGGAATCGGTGAGGAGCGGGGGAAATGATAACAATAATAATAAGACAAACGCTTAAAGGATACTGTTAGAGGTTTTCTTATTCATTTGCCCTTACACGAGCTAGAGACCGTAAGGCTAGTAGTGACAGGTTAGGAGAAGCTTTCATCCGTAAAGTGTCGTTTCCCAAGTGGTGTCTCCTGTGGCCAGCCAATAGATTTTACCACATTCACAATCTCACTTATAACCAGAGTATGCTATATAGCCATAGTAATCATTAATAATTGATTCTCACTACCTTCGTACATAATTTCACGAGTGGCCACTATCCTTAACTAGTTCTAGTAATTAATATACTCTACAATAAACTACCCTTTAGCTATCCGAGGTGGCTTAGGTGACGGCATTAATAACATCCAATTCTGAATAACATCCAATTCTGGACACCAATTACTTTGTAGAAAATCTAGAGATTATGTGATGCAGGCTTATCCATAGTGGAGACTCTCGAGTCCTTAGTCTGCACGTGGGTGTTTAGAGTCACAATAAGATTAAGATTGAGGTTTGTAAATACTTGCTTGTACTTGCTTAGCCAGGGAATATCCGAACTCATTATATGAGAAAGTAGTTCAATTACTAGCAGCAAACCTGTCTTCTTAATAATATACTTGATGCAAATACTCTATGCATGATTTTTGCTTTTCT